GCCCCACATGTGATTATCGGCCAGGCTGGCATAATTAACTAACTCACACCTGAAAAGCTGTATCATGTACGTGTCACAGCATGCTCACGAGCCTTCCTTTAACCCTACTGCCACCTCCCTCTTCCTATAGTCCACTGTCTCAGATTAATTGTTCAGTGGACAGTTTTAATAAGTGTGGGCAAGGGTGCAATAAGGACTTTCATGATTTTAAACGATTCAGGACCCCTTACTCTCTTCAAATGACAGCCTCGTGGTCTGTGTGCGAGTTCCACAGGAGCATAATTAAGTGTCATGGAATTCCCATTCTTCACAATCTTATCCATAGTTTTATTTTATGAACCAGACAGTCAAATGCCTTTGCATAGCTGAGGAAACACAGGCAGGCATCTTCCTGGTGGCCTTTGCTTCCAGCCAGGATCGGTCTGATCTCAGCAATGCCATCCTTCATCACAGGTCCTCTTGGGAACCCAGCTTGAATGTCTGGCTGTTTTCTGCAAATGCAGCACAGCAGTACTTTTTGGAGTGACTATCAACAAAATCTTACTTTCCTGTGATATTACCTACGCTGTTTGCTATTTTCTGCACGCCCTTGGGTCTGCCTTCCTTGGGAGGGGCACACACGTGGGCATCTCCCTATGACTTAGCAGACATGAGTAATGTAGCATCTATGTGTTGAAACCTTTCAATGTTCTGTCAAGTCCTGGAGCCTTCACCTTCACCAAGACCTTCTTCTTGGATGTCTTTCTCTAACACCATGGATTCTCGCTCATCTGCAATCTCTGGAAAAGGCTGAATGTCAACTAACTCTCTTTGGTACAGTGAGTCTGTGCATCCCATCTATTTTTCTTGTGATGTTTTCTGCATTGTGTGATACTGAGCATCTTCCAGCCTGGGGTGTTCATCTTCTGGTAATGTATCAGGCAATGTTCCAGTTTTATTCAAGATCTTTCCAGTGGCTAATTTTTCGGAAGCAGGCTCCCTCTTCCTTTTTCCTAATTTGCCTTCATCTGGAAGCCCTCCTGACACCTGGCCACTAAGGCTTGACCCCGCTGGTTCCAGGAAGATGGGTGGCTCATCTGGCAGCATCGCGCAGCACGCGAGTACTGTTGTAGGACACACTGATGGATGAAAGGATGTGGACAGAGGCGCCAACACCCATTCAGTGTCCCTGCGGTCCTGATCTCTTTTTAAAGGGTTAAGGAAGAGGCAAAGACACCTCAACGATGTGATTCAAGGGCCTCATCAACCTCCAAAGATGCCCCTACAAATATTACTGAGCATAACATGGCTCTTCCTATGTAAATGCCAGGCTTCCTCATCCCAGCGACTTTAAAGTACTACAAGAAAAAGTTCCTCCCCAAGTATTTTGTTTGAAAGTACACGTTTCTTATAACCCAAAGGTTATTAGCTTCTCTAGTACATACCTCTGGCAGAAGGTCTGTTTTGCTTGCCCTGCCTTTGAGAATCAATCATAGATTTTAACATCCCTGTCTTCAATCAACTGGTATTTTGGCAGAGCTGTTTCTTTTTAAAAAAAATCATTTTATTGGGGAATCTTACAACAATCCATATATCCATTATGTCAAGCACATTTGTACATACATTGCCATCACCCTTTTCAAAACATTTTCTTCCCACTTGAGCCCTTGTTATCAGCTCCTCATTCTTTTCCTCCTTCCCACATCCTCCTTCCCTCCCTCATGAACGCTTGGTAATTTATAAAGTATTACTATTATTTGCATATCTTACACCAGCCTCTGTCTCCCTTCACCCATATTTTGGTTGTTCATCCCCCTTGTGGGGGAGAGTAGGCAGTTATACATCAATCATTGTGAGGGGCTCTTCCCCCCCACACACACACATCTTCTTAACTTATGGTGTTGCTACTCCCATTATTGCTCCTGAGGGATTTATCTGTCCTGGATTCCCCATTATCTGTATATATACTCTGGTCTAGTCAGATTCGTAAGATAGAATTGGGGTCATAAAAGTCAGGGGAGAAGGCATTAAAGAACTAGAGGAATGGTGCATGTTTCATCCGTGCTCTACTGCTGGCTCATCCTTTCCTGTGACCCTTTTGTGAGGGGATGTCCAATATCTACAGATGGGCTTTGGGTGTCTACTCCACACCCCACCCCACCCTCTACCCCCGTCTCCTTCAAATTGATATGACTGTTTCTTCTGATTCTATTGATTCTATTGATACCTTATGATCACACAGACTGGTGTGCTTCATCCATGTGGGCTTTGTTGCTTCTCCGCTAGATGGATGCTTGTTTATCTTCAAACATTTAAGACCACAGACGCTGTATCTTTTGATAGTTGGGCACCATCAGCTTTCCTCACTACATTTGCTGATGTACCCATTTTGTCTTCGACGATCATGTTGAGAAGGTTAGCATCAAAGAATGCCAGGTTAATAGAACAAAGTGCTCTTGCATTGAGGGAGTACTTGAGTAGGGGCCCAATGTCCATCTGCTATCTTACTATTTAGCATATAACATATGTACATATATCTATGTCCCTATTGTCTTATACATGTGCACATGCCTGTATTTAAACTTCTATAGATGTCCTTGCCTCCTAGCTCTTTCTGGAAGAGTTGTTTCTTACTAAAATCTATATACTAATTTCCCAGTTTTTTAAAAGCATTGAAGTTCATCATATTGGGAGGGTGGGAAAAAAACAAAGGATTTTTTTAATTGGTTTTTCTCTTATGGCCCTTTAAAGAAATAGCAGTACATGAAATGGTAGAGGGAGAGTTGCAAACACGAGACCGAGAATGGATAATGAGAGCAAAAGGAAGCAAGCCACCATGTGATTTCAAGTCACTAGATTTATTCTCTGACACAAAGCAAACTTCTCCAGCGATGATTTCCTCGTCTACTCAAAAGACGTGCTAGTAGCACAGTGTTTACGGGCTCCATTTGTACTCTAGCGATTGACCTTTCAAACCCACCAGCTACTCCCTGGGACAAAGCTGTGGCCCTCTGATTCCTTGAAGAGAGACAGCCTTCGGGAGTAGCTCTGCTCTGCCCTTCAGGGTGGCTGTGACTCAGAATCAACTCAATAACCACAGGTTCCCCATCTCCTCACCCTGCCCTTTCCCATCACTCTGTTGCTCCCGTCCACTCGCTGTCTCATTATATATCTATATGGACAGGGAACCAACAAAGAACCAAGTCATCAACTCATTTATTGAAGAAATATTAACATACAGTAACATATTTAAATCTTGGGTTAACTTTATGTTAATTTTTGATCAAGAATCCACTACTTCACAACCCTTCCATACTGAATGAGGGGAAAACACAGAGATCACCCATAAGGGAACTTTGAATGATGCCTCTCAAGTTTACGTTGTGTCTTAGCCCTGAGTTGCATGACATGGTAGCCATTCACCATATGTGATTATTTAAATTAATTAAACTTAACTAAAATCCCATTTATTTCCTCAGTCACATTAGCCACATTGCAAGTATCTAACATTATCCATGGATCCAAGTTCACTGCCTTGGCCCTGACGCCCACTGATCGTGACGCTGGAGGACAGTGTGGAGCTGCCTCTCTGGGTTTCTCAGACTGTGCGTCTTGACCGGAACAGAAAGCTTCATTTTCCCTAGGGAGTAGCTAGTTGTTTTCAATGGATGACCTTGAGATTAGCAACCCAACTAGGGGATCCCTGTGCCACCAAGGCTCCTCTCAGCATGGCTCGTGGCTGCCAGACTGTTCCGCACAGATATAAACCATTTCCCTTCTCCTAGAAATTCCTAGTTCACAGCACTGACACTGAAGGTTTTTAATTTTCATTTTTACTTGGATGTTTCTAGATGTGGTAACTATTTAAGAATAAAAAGAATTGTTACAGTGTTTGAGAGAGTATTTCGATAAAGTAATAACACTTTTCTAGGGGATTCTGAATATGATTTTATCTATCCATTCCTCTTCAGTTACTTCAAAGCTACCAGTCTCTCTTTGGGACATCAATGTAAAGGTCTTTTGATCTGTTTTCCTCAGGGGGCCCTTTTAAGAAATGGTTTTCTTGAAAATAACACCATTTCCGCTGGTCACTACCTATTTGCTTTTCCTATCATCTGTAACACATTGCCTTGCTGCTTCTCTCTCTCTCCCATTATGATGCATGCTATAGGATCTGTAAGGCCAGGGACAGTGTCTTTGTCACCACTGAATCACCACCAATGTTTATAACAATGCCTGAAATATAAATGTCTTTGAATAAATAACTTATACATTGGAAGGTGCTGGCCTTTTTCAGTGAAATATGTATGATATGACTTACCAAATTACTGAAACCAACTCCAGCCAGGGCTTGTTTCAAAACAGTCAGTTTCTCTCGGTTCAGAGAATGCTCCGTTGTTGATACATCTTCCTGGATCGTTTGGTCCAAATACCTGTTCAGGATGAAAAGCCACATAGTATGATGACTTGGCTGATAGTCAAACTTGAGTGGGTACAAGTCACCTCTATCATGTTTAGTCTCCAGAATAGAGAAAATCAACGGAACATTGTGTACCCTTGCTGTGACAAGGTTTCTGGTACCTCAGAGCACATGATGGCTCAGGAAACAAACAAACATAAAAATGTTCTGGCTGTACCAGAATATATTTACACTGTTTAACTTGGGTCTTACCTTAGCTGCACCCTTCCTTGTGAAAGGACAAGTTAACAAGTGGATGATGTATTTTATTCAAAAAGTTAGCAGGTCCTATGGTGTGCTTTTGCCTTTGATATTTTCATTAAGGATTCTTATTTAGATACATTAATTATTCCATCCAGTCAATATCTTTAAGTGTGGGATGGCTCCTTTCTTCCTTCATTTCTTCACTTATTTCAGCAAGCACATACTAATCGCTTACCAAATACAGACAATGTAGGGAGCCAATTATATAAAGATAAAGGGTCTATGTTCCCGGGACCTAAACAACAACATAAGATCCAAAAATTGGATCTAGAGAGAGACATGGAGATGAAACAACTCCAATATGATATGGAAACAGAATTAAACATAAATGCCTGGTATCTTGCAAGGTTACTTAGAGGTGTAGAGGGCATTGGGTACTACAAATGGCTTGTGCTCAAGTGCTAACTTGATCGCACTCAGAAGTGTGACACAGGAAAGGCCGGACGAACGGCTCCCAGAAACATCACACTGAGGTGCTCTTGAGTCCAGTCCAACTTAGCATGACCCCATGTGACAGAGTAGAACTGCCCAGACAATTTTGGGTTGTGTTTTTGCTTTTTGCCTATCATCTGGACAGAAGCAGAGGATCGGGTCTTTTTCCCACAGAGACACAGGGTGGGTTTGAACCATCAACCTTTGAGTTCTCCGCTGAACACTTAACCAGATACATAAGCATTACTCCTTCTCACAAATATTAGAAAGAAACCTGCAAAGCCCCTCATAGAGGATGTCTGCTCTCTAGTGAAGGGGATTTCCATGAGTCAGAAGTGACCTGACAGCAGTGCAGTTGGGTTTGGGGTTAGGATGAAGGAGACAGCTGGCCCAGGAGAGGATGCACTGGACTGCTTACTGTAAGGTCGGTAGCTCAAACCCACCCACTTCTCTGAGTGAGAAAGATGAGGCCGTCTGCTTGCAGAACAATGTACATCCTCAGAAACCACGAGGTTTCTGTCCTGCAGCATCTCTACAAGTCAGACGCAATTTGATGGCAATGGAATGCAGGTGTGCAGGCATGTACAGTTTCTGCATAAATTTGCTTCCTAGAGGCTTGATCAAATACAGTACAATGGTAGAAGCTGGGACCTGTGGAGCCGGAAATGTGTCACAGAAAGAAAACTCAAATATTTTCCACTAACAAAGAGCAACAGAAACATGCTAAAGGCAAAACTCTTGTGAGACCAGAAAAAAGCATCGCCCCCTTGCCTTCCAGCTCCAGGAAGTCTAGACTAGTTGCCGTTCTGTAATACAATACAATGCAGTACAATGTCAGTGACTGTCATCGTACACGCTAATGTAACCTCATTAATCATTGGAGAGGGAATTTCCTTAAGGGGTAGTCTCTCTAAAGTAGATATATTGGCAACATTCTGTCTCTCCATTAGAATCTGCATTCTTCCAGTTCTGTGAGGTACAAATCTTGGGACACAAGCCTGGAGAAATACCAAGCCAGATGACTGGCCTACAGATTTCAAAATTACCAAACCCTACAACTTCACCATTTTGTGAACTAAGTAAGCCTTTGCAAGGCTTTAAACACTTCACCAAAATATCTTATTGAAAGACAATGAAATTTCCCCATAAACTTTTCGAAGCTCCTTCAATGATATGTACATATAGGCATATTTTCTCCAGAAGTACTCATGCAATCTAAGACCCAGGACATCGGACCCAAAAGCAGACCATGAAGAAAGGTTATGCGAATGAGAAAACATTAGCTCTTCCAAGTATTTCAGACCTGAGGAAGAATAAGCCAAGTAAATGCCAGGACATACGGGTATCCCTGCAATCTACAATACTTAACAGCAGTTTAGAAAACACAAAGAACTGAGAAAACATGATGCGTGTGGAAAACTTGCGCATTTTTGTCAGCAAAATTGGAGTCAGAGGAAGTAAAGCTTGACGAGGTAGGATACATACTATTGCATTGTAAGTCTTGTTAAAGCATTCCTAACGATTCTTGTAAATATTGGAAAACCGGGAGATTTGGAAACCAACCAGTGGCCCAGCCCTAAAGTGTTGCGGAAAGTATCCCTTGAGGGCTCCGGGAAAGATGCTACATCTCCAAAGAGATGCGGCCGCTGATGCAATAGCAAAGCAGTGGGTGGGAATTAAGGAGCCAGACAAAAGGCTGAGTTGCAGGACGAGGGGATAGTTTTGGAATCAGGAAAAGATAAGGCATGACTTAATAATAGTTTTTCTTTTCCTGTCTGGGGAACTTGGAAGAATATTAAACCCATTAAACAATAAAGATTTTTTCAAGATGTGATTTTTTTCCAAAATTACTTTAGATATGTTAAATTATTTAGGTATGTTTAGATGAGTTTGAATTACTTGTTGGCGTTCAATTAAAGTTCTAAGTGATAATTGAATATAAAGATTTGGAATTTAAGACACGCAGATAAATAAAACCACGTGACTAGATGAATTCACGGAACAGCAAACTTTAAAATGTTATGCACGCGGAACAAATCAGCTTACAAGGAAGTAGGACATTAAATGATATCAAAGTTATTAAAACAAAAATATACTCTGTGTTTTCTTTTTAGATTGGTTGTTGTTTCTGTTATCATTGTTGGGGACCCTGGGTTGGTTCTGATCCATAGGGACTGCATCAACAAAAGAGTGAAGCACGACCTGCCCTGTGGCTGTCCGCAGAATCATTTTTACATTTGAGCCCATTGTGGCAGCCACTGCGTCAATCTCTCTCATTAGGGTGTCTTTTTCTTTTTTGCGTCACAGATCCTCTACCAAATTAGGTGGTAAAGAATAAAGGATACTGAGAAGAATAGAAGTTGGCAGGACAAGAGGTTAGCTTAAAAACAGAACAGGAAACACAGGACTTAACTGTGGTTCCTAAGTTTCTGCCTGGGTAACTTGGGGGAATAGTAAGCCTATTAAAACTAGAAAGAGGTTTTAATAAGGGGAGGAACCCCCCACCCAAAATATTTGAGATATGTTGCGATTGAATTACTCACTTTGGGGAATATTAAGCCTATTAAAATGAGAAAGAGGTTTTAATAAGGGCAGACATTTCCCCCCACCAAAATATTTGAGATATGTTGAGATTGAATTACTCGTTGAAGTTCAAGTAGAGGTACTGGTCCATCCTGATGATATATGCAAAGTACATCAAATGGAGTCGAGCTTTCCTGGCTCCTTGGAAGTATTCTGGTTGTACTTCTTCCCACACAGATGTGTTCGTTTTACTGGTAGTCCATAGTATATACAATATTCTTCACCAACTCCATAATTCAAAGGCATACATTCTTCTGTGTTCCTTATTTATTGTTCCGCTTTCATGTTCATATTAACTGATAGAAATATATCATTATTTGGATCGGGCATACTTTAAAAACAAAACAAGACCCCAAACCCCACTTCACTGCTATCCACAGGGGTACAGCTCACAGTGACCTGACAAGACAGAGTAAAGGACCCCTGTGGCTTTCTGAGACCAACACATTGGGGGGTGTGGGTGGGGGAAGCCCCAGCTTTCTTGCTAAGGAGGGCCTAAAGATTTCACACTGCTAAGCTAGTGCTTAGCAGCACAATGTACCGTGTTGTTAAATTTCCTGACTGTGGCATCTGTAGATGTTGATTATGGATTCAAGAATAATTAAATTCTTGAAATTTGAACCATACCATGATGTTGCTTATTGGTACAGTCATGAGAATTGGCATTCCCTTGCTGTTAAAGTGTAATCCACTTTAAAGGGTAGAGTCCCTTTAAAGGGTAAGTATGTTCAGCCCTTTTTAATTTCAGCAAGTAAGTTGGTACCATCTGTAAAGCACAATTGTCATGAATCTCCCTCCAATCTTGAAGTCACATTCTACTTCATATATTTCAGCTTCCTGGACTTATTATCTCAGCATGCAGATTGAATAATGTGCTATAGTGAAAGGAAACGCCCAGATGCACAACTTCCCTGCTTTAAAACCATGCAAGATCCTCTTTCCTTGTTTGGACAGCCACTTCTTTTATATGTACAAGGTCCTCATGTGTACAAGTAAGGGTACTGGAATTTCTATTTTTCAGAATATTATGAGTGTGTTCCGTTATGGTTTCCACAGGCCCATGCATTTGCATAGTCAAGGAAACCCCACTAAGTTAAACACCTTTCTGGTATTCTCTGTTTCCAGCCAAGGTTCATCTGAGATCAGCAATGATGTCCCTCCTTGCAGATCCTCCACTGAATCTGGCTTAGATTCCTGGCAGCTTCCTATTGATGCAACAGCTTTTGAATTACCTTCAGCAAAATTCTACTTCTGCATTATATTAAAGCGATTGGTTGATGCTCTTCGCATTCTGTTGAATCACCATCCTTTGGCATGGGCACTCCCTCTTCAGCAGATTGTCCAGGTTGTTGTTTTCGAAATGCATTGAAGTAGATGAATGACCACCGCCAACACTGTTTGTTGAAAAATCTCATTTTGTATTGTGGATTCCTGGAATTCCCCCCCACCCTTCTCCCCCTTTAATGTCCTCGGTGTGCTTTGGCCTTCTTCCTTTGAAATCATCAGTTCTTGAGCATCTACTGCCTTCCAAAATGGTTTCATTAATCAACCAATACTGATTGGCAGGGGCAGATAAGATGACACCCACAGAGAAACAGGGAAAGATTGAGTGGCTTTGGCAATGAAGACTGGGGATGATGTAGAGTTGCAAGTACAGAAGCAAAGTGCACTTGTAAAAGGAGAAAAGTACCTATT